TTTCTAGAGTTTTATGTGACTCATCCTTTATAATAATTAATATTCTTAAAGAAAGAAGCCTTAATATACTTTTTCTGAGGTTACAATACAAAACAGCATTTTCTCATTTTGATTAATTTTTAATAATATGTAATAGCCGTAGAAAAAATATAATGTTCAACTCATAAGGGTAGATTTGCAGTATTAGCCTGCGCACATGCTATTTTTATAATACTCGTAGACAATGAGTAACATTTTTTGCTCTATTAACAATATATTCTATTTCAACATTTTACTGTAATCTCTTACAGAAAAGTCCGTAGTAAATAAACGCTAACGAAATATTCTATAAAAGGTCTTCTCTTTACATAAAATGTCGTGGCATCTGTTTGATATTAAAAAATCACGTTAATTTGATTTCATAATACAAAATTCGATTAAACACCTTTTAAATAAACCTAATAGTTCATTAAGATGCTAATAAACAAAGTCCGGTCCCTGTCACAGAGTTCGGGTCGCCGCGTGTCGCCGCCCAGTTCCCCTACTCCGTTAACCCTTCTTTAGAAATTGGCAACATTTGCGCAGGTTTAAAACCGGTGTATGTTATATCTCTGGTCTCTTTTATCTAAGGTTGGATGTCAAGCTGTGATAGTGTAGTTGCATATCGGTGGAGCAAACATTTTTAAAATATCTGTTGAGTGTAAAAGACGTCTTAACTTCAGACGGATTTGGTAAGAACACTATTATCTACTTCTAATTTATCAATATGCGTCTTCCAGTTTTTTTTTTTTGGAAATATTTTAAAAGAATGTACTTGGGGTACATTGGAACAGAAAAAATGGGGCACATTGGAAAGTTACCCCTTAAGAATGTTATATTTGTCGTAACAGTCCATAAAATTTAGTTTCAGATTTTTTCTGCATTGTAGCCCTTTGATGTCAGTGTGCTTTTAATAATTGACTCCTTAGTAACCCTGGTAAAAGAATATCTATTTACGAGATCGCGGAGTTATCAGGAACTGCATATAATAAAGCATTTGTTCTGGATTCAGAAAGTGCGGAATAGTTACTTTCAATAGAACAATATTTAATCCTAATGATTTTTTGCCTGCAGCTGTTAGATCCACCTCCACCTGTTACTGATGAACCTCCACCAGTAGTCGATGAAAATCAGCAAGTTGCATCAACTTCTTCTTAACTACTAAATGAAGAATTTCCTGATGATGATTTGACTCAGGTTTTAAATAACTCTACTATTACACTTGAAGTTGTAAGACCCTATCCTAAAGCCTTTAGGCTAAACACAGGAAACAGGAAGAGGAAACAAAATGCAGAATACTCACAAATACGAAAAAGAAATTTGAAAAAAGAATGAAGGAAAAAAGAATGAAGGAAAAAAGAGTAAAAGAAAAACGTATTTGTTTTGAGAACCTGTGAAGAAAGTTGAATGTAAAGATAAAGAAAAAGGCTCTTGAAGAATCAGTTCAGAGTGTACCATATGAGTCAGAGTCAGACAACATCAGCAAACTTGAAACGCTGAATAATCTTAAAAATAATCTTCCTAACATTTTCAAAGGAGACTTTCTTATTATTAAATATTGCACAACAAAGTCACAAAAGTGGTACGTCGGGCTTGAAGATAATGGCGAACAATTACCGCATTAATTAAAAAAAAAAAAAACGGTTAACGGATTTGTTTTGTCAATATTGTAGACAAAGATACTGTAGACTTTTTCCAAGTAGAGATGAAACTCCCAAGTCCAAAAAATTATAATACTACTGAACGGGCCAGCTTTAAAATAGACTTAACATCATTTAAATATATTCAGAGATTGATCTTTATAACTTTCGTCGAAGTTCTGCTTTTATCAGAAAACCTGTTTCATGTTCTTTAATGTAATTTTTACTTTCTCTTTTATAAATATTGATTAGTGATACCGCAAGACGAGAGATTCTCGTCTCTCGTCTTGTCTCGTCTCGAACGAGACGAGAGAGACATTTTCTCTCGAAAACAGATTCGAGACGAGATGAGAGAGTGTCATCTCTCGACTAGAATTTCTCGTTTCTCTCGTGTTCTCTCGGGCTCTCTCGAACAATTTTTTCTTTGCTTATTTGAAATTTTCAATTGTTTATCGTAACTTAAAATGTTAACATATTAGATTTCAAGATAGTAAAAAAGTTAACTATAACACACCTATTCTATATATAATAAATGGTAACAAATGATACTTCTGTTATTAGGATTTTATAAATAGTGATTTATAAGAAAAAATATTTCTCATTTCATTTATTTAAAATTTATACAATCATTTCTTATATTTAATCCATTCTGCTTTTCTGAGGTTACTTTTGAAGATAAGTTGAAAGTTTTTAAGCGTTTTTTCGAAAAACTGTCAAAGAAAAGGTAATACAAACGAATGTATTATATACAGTGAGAACGAAAATTGTACCCTCCTCTATTTTAACTTCTAAATGAAAAAAGATAATGACAAAACAAAAACAAGGTAAAACTCCAGAGATATTATATGTTTGTTATGACGAGATGCACTTTACTTGAGACACGTAAGATAGAGGGAGTTACTAGCTTTAAATTTTATAATTGAAAGTAGGGTCATGTGATACCTCATTTGAAAGATATTTTCCATATTTTTACGTTCATGTAAACAGATTTAGGTTTTTATGTTTTCACAGAAATTACGTTAAATAAATTCATAAAGTAGGTTAAATTCTTTTTTTTACCGCTTCAACCTCAAAGAATCATTACCAGAGGTATAATATCTTATAAATGCTGTGTTTATAATAGTATACAATGGATAATTAACATTTTGGCTAGTACAGAGTAAATATCCGTATTTTTTTATAAATTTAAGTAATTTTTTACTGTTAGAGGGAGTTAACACTGCACAAATAGCAATTTTTTGTAGCTGGTACTTTGTTCTTATACAGACATGTTCTGGGCCTTTACTAATAAGTTACATTCTTAATAACTCTCGTATTAACAATTATTGTTTATTACTAAGAAAACGCTTCTTGTATTTACTAAAATAAATAAATTAGGAATATCAAAGGTGATTTAAAAACCACTTGACGTATTAAATTTTTCTTCTTTGCAAAAAAGGTTATTAAAAAATTATCTTCTAACATTATCTAACATTTCTAGGATTATTGCGGCACACAAGGATTATCAGGAATGTAATTTTTGTAAAAACAAAAAAAAAATAAAATTGTGTGCTTGGACGTAAATATAATATCTTTCAAATGAGGTATTACATGACTTTTCATTAGAAAATTTAAAGATAGTAACGCCCTCTATTTTACGTCTTAAGAAAAGTGCATCTCATTATAACAGAACTATTATATTGTTTTTCTAATTTCACATCGTTTTTGTTTTATGTCTCTATCTTCTTGCATTTTAAAAACACTACAAAATGCTTTCATTTGACATTGCAGGATTGCATTAGAAAAATTCTAACTTCTAATTTAACCTCTTCCCCCCTCCCCAGCTGACTTAAAAGACAAAGAATTTTCGTTTTTAGTTAACGCCTAATGTGGGCCACTTATTACTTCAAATTTTAATTTTAAAACGACTGTGACAGACGGACAGACAGAGAGACATAAGTGTTTCTTATTGCCAAATTTGGGTACTAATGCGCAAATAACTCGAGCGAGAGAAGCACCTTCTCGTCGAGACGAGAGAACAGTTTTCTCTCGTCCTACGAGACTAGACGAAAGAGGCCACTCTCTCGTCTCGTCTTGTCTCGCGGCATCACTAGTATTGATAATTTCTTTTATTTTTCTCATTAAATTATGTATTTTTAAGCAAAATGTTTTATTATATTGCAATATGCCCCGTCAAAAAATATGTCTTGGTTCTCTGAAATATATGAGAAAGAACAAAAAATGTATGAACCGAGTTTGAAACTTTTCTTCTGGATATGTTAAAATGTCTGAAAGGTACCAATGTGCCCCACTCTCCCCTATCTTGTATAAAAAGTTTTCAAGAATCCAGTGAATGCAAACTAAGCATTTTTAGTTTTTATGAACAAATAAGAGAATTAAATGTTAATACATATTTATTTATTAATAAAAATACTAATATAGAAGACTCTGCGGGGCCCCTTCTGCTAGGAGCCCTGCGCATAAGCGTACTAAGCGTACCGCTAAATCCGCCACTGTTATTGATAATATGTAGGAGTTTTAATAACTTCAAATATGTGTAAATCTTACATATAAACCGTACTATCTATTAATTCTAATATTAAATTTTAATAAATCATTCCACTTTAATTTAATTTGCCCTAAAACCACATAACTTTACGAATCATTTAATTCGTTCATATTTCAGGCCTGATGATGGCTTTTAAGCCGAATTTGGTTGCCTATATTTTTTCAATGAAATATTATTGTGTGGTACGGATTTTGTTTTTTCTCATACTTTTTATTTGAAAATCGATATATAGTTTCGTCTATATCTAATTCTATATTTTGATGGACACACATAATAAAACTAAATCGTTAAGGCGGTCTTCTAGCATGGTTAACTTTTTAAAAGTCAAGAGTAGAGACTTGTTACAGAAATTGTAAATGTACAAAGAATTTTAAGATATTTGCAAATATTTGGAAAATAATCGGAATCAGAGTTTTGGAGACGACGATGTTAAATCCATTTAGACAGAATGTTACTTTCCTTTATTTGGAATGGCTCTTTCCTAAATCCGCCACTGCCCTTAGGCAACAAATTTAGTAACATATCTTTAATATAAAAAATATAGAAAATCATCATTTAATTTTAAACTGAAACGACGGACATAATTGTATGTTAAGCACACATCATTTAGTTTTTATTGCTCTGTGAGCCGTATCACTTATTTCGTTTTTTAGAAAATAGTAAAACAGAAGTAAATATTAATATTTATCTCCGAAATTTTGTGAGAGAAGGTTTAGATAACAATTATTTTAAATTCAGTTATTTTAAACATCAATATAAATAAAACAGTAGGTTAAGCATTTATTTATAATTACCTTCAGAGTAACATAAATTAATATTTCTTCTTTTAGTTAATATTACAAATGTTGACCCTCTATTTAACAGTTCTATAGTTTTGCATATTTTTATTATTAATCACTTATCACACAAAATACACTCATTTATTATTGAATCACTATTTACCGGTCAAACATTGAGGCAGTGTACTAGTTCCTTAATGATATACAGCTCCAGTTTATTAAAATGATAGGTCTATTGTAGGAAAGGGGCCATCATTAGATTAGTATAACACGTGGAAAAATAACATTCAGATAATCGTATTTATACAGTGCGGATATTAAGGTTTATGTGGATCTTCTGCATACGAATACCTGCGAAACGCAAATAAAAGTCTTTTTGTGAAAGAAAAAAACTGTAGCTTGAGTAAATTAATAAAAACATGGGTGATGAAATGAAATATTTTAGGGAAATGTCGGGAAAGATGAATTTAATAAAATGGAAAGAAATTAGAGAGGCTACATACCAGGTGCGGATCTGGTAAGATTTCTCGTGGGGGGGGGGGTAAATTATTTTATTCGTCGCCGTTAACTTGTTTTTTTGCTTTCTCGGAAATTTTATATATTTCAGTATCTTTGAGTAGCTCGGGGGGGGGGAGATTACTCTTTTATCCTCCCCACTTGTATCTGCGCCTATAATCTTGTGAGATGCAAAAAATACTGCCTGAGTGAAGAATCAGTATTGCTCCAATATTAAAAACCGAGGGATATACAGCAACGCACCAACTATAGGCGAATAGTCACTGAATTATACAATAGTCCCGTCTCGATTTTAGTTTTAAATTTTTTTGAGAATACCTATTATTATTTGTTACATTGAGTTTAATAAAATCCTAAGATTTCGAAATTATTGAAAGTTATAAATATATAGAAAATGTGTATATGACTAACTGGTTTTATTAATCTTTTTTTGGGGTAGGTGATTATATTTTGAATAATTTACAAACTTCTTTTGAATAAAAGACTAAATATTTCTGTTTTTATTAACTGAACAAATAATATTTTATACAAACATAATATATGCTTATTTAAAAAAGAATATTGCATTTTACAAGTATCGCATATTTATATGAAATTACTTACTCAATAAGCCAGAATTAAATGAAAGAAACAATAGATGTGAAAAATTGTTTTAACAATTTAATCCTTAGAGAAACTTATTTTAATTACATAATGCCTTAATCAATTTATTCACTATAAAAGTATATTGCTTATCAGTTATTACATGTAATAAAATAAAGTATAAAACATACAAACTAATAGGTACCTACTTAGAACGGAACTAATATTTAAAAGAAAAACCTGACCAAAAGATGTAGAAAAAATTGTCGCAACAGTTTTTAAAAATTAGGTTTTTTATACCTGTCAAGAAAATTCTTAAAGCCTACCCTGTGTACGCACGCAATCGACTCGTGATCGAAGCAACGCTGACGTGTGGAAACAGCCGGCCCGCGTCTCGCATGTACAAGAATACGACGGAATGTCTGCTGCTGATGCACTGGAAGCAACTGGAACGGTGGGGAGTACCGATTAGTCATAGGGGTAGAATCTTCGCGAGTCTCTAGCATTTTCCAGTAGCGGAGTTGGATTAATATAAATAGCCGATGTATTATTATACAGTGCTTATTTTTTCGTGTTAGGCATACAACTAGTATACAAGTTAATAAAATGGCAATACGGCAACAGCCAGTCGTCGTCGACTAGAATTAGAAGATATGGTGGTGGAATATTAGCCAAACCAAATGCGAGGCACAAAGCTAGAGAGTGTTAGCAGAAATATCATAGTTGCCACTTGTTCGCTGTAAAAGCACGGCTATGCCTAATACAAAATAATAGGTACTGTATAAAGCCATACATTTTTAAAAGTTCTAATACTTTTTAACTTTTAACAATTAAATATTGTTATCGATATCGTTCAAATTTCTTTGAATTTCTTTACAATCTTTCACACTTTGAACACATAAGCATATTTAGAGACATCATCAGTAATTGAAAATATGGTTTGTAATTAAAAATAATAACCCCACTAGAAAAACCTAAACTAAACAAATATGAGACCTTGTTACTACGATTAACCTTATTCAAAGCCTTAGAACTCTTTATAAACAGATATAGCATCCACTTGCTCTTGGTTTTCCAAAACATAAACAGAAATATATTCAATTAAGCATAAGTTAATAACCATTCAATGATTATTTTTAAAACTTTAATGATATTGTGAAATATTATCCAGGAGATAGATAAATAAATGCAATTTCAAAGAAAAATAATAAAAAGTACACAAGAATGACATTGGTCTATAAATTTCCGTTTGATTTAGTCATAATTTTAAGTATTGTATTGTATATACTATTGCTTCTTTACACAATTTACTATATTTTTAAGTATTTTTATGCGAAAAAAAATTAAAAATTTGTTATTTCATCGAATATATCTAAAGTACTAGTTTAACAATATACATTCAAAATCTTAAATTAATGTCACCAGTGTGTAATTTTTATAAGCTATATGAATCTAAGGAGCTTGGATATTTCCAGGGGGGACAACTGCCCCCTTTGCCCCCCTTTGCCCCCCCCTGCCGGCGCCCATGAACATAACCTTTCTTATTACATGTATTTTAACATACTTTATACTATACATATTTACTTTTCAACCTAAACATCCTCATTAATCAGTTCAATATTCAAATTAAATTCCAAAATCACAAAAAATTTGCATATTATAATTGATAAAAATTAAAAAATAAATAAATATAAATGTTAAGCGATTTTGATGAATAAAAAAACTCATACTGATAATTTCAGTTCTATATTTGCTTTTTTTTAATATTGAAAGTTTAAATTAAAATATAATACAATACCTATTATCTTTTAGAGATAACTCACAACATGTGAATATGGTCTTGTCAGGATTATGTTGCAAACAACCTTAATGTAAACAAGGCGTAGGTATCTATTATGTCTGATCTCTTTGGCCGAACCCCTTTTTGTGGTACGGATTTTGGTCTCCTTATCTCAATAATTTATTTAACACTAATTCACAGAAGCTTTACTCCACTAATAAATGTTTGTTACAAACACATTTTGATTCCTGTTAATTTCAAATTAACCTTCCATAATTCCATAACTTTATTAGGAAAACCTTAATTGCGTTTATATTAGATTATATCATAGGTTGATTGGTTATATCGATCCTTTTCGTATCAAGGCTCTTGATGAAGTAACTGGAGTTTATAAGTTATCCCATTATAATTAAAACAATCTAAATCATTATCATCTCTATTGAGATCCGTAGATTTAAAACGGAATTAATACGTTTGATTTAACCCGTTCATTTTTGCCATTCTGTTGGAAAAATAAGTAACCAAACACTAAAAAATAACAATCGTGACAGTCGATTTGTGACACAGCGTTCGATAAAAAAAATAATTCTGTAGCCATTTTTCCTTTGTCTTATCGAACAGGAATATTTGAAAACTTTGGTTATTACTTTTACATTATCTTAGACTAGGTAATAAAGAGAGGACGCGTAACAAGTATATCGAGCACACGACGTAGTATTCTGTGCCGATAATCTAGTGCCGCTATTATTTTGGGGCTTAGCATGTTGATGACACCAAAGCTTTTTTTTCGTGTCTATTTCTGATTTTTGAAATAAACGACATTTAATAATTGGTTTGTTACAATGGTTTATTGTGTGGCATATCAGTGTAAAAGTTATAGCGGCAAGAAAGAAGCAGATATTACGTTTCACAGTTAAATGATAAACATAAATCGTTTTCACTTTATATATTTTCTTATATTTTTCATTTTATTTGGTGTTATACAACTTGGTATTTACATATTGTACATGTCTTTCCAAAGTAATAAATTTTACTCATCAAGTTTATTTATATTATGCTTTTCATTGATATTTAAGCAATTAATGATATTAAAATTGCCAAACAAGTAATTTTTTTCCAGTGTCGCGTCGTATTATTAAATATTAACTTTTATTAAATTCTACTTTACTTATGCTTTTTATTTAATTACAGCAATGTTTATTGCTGTTTTATTTTAGATTTCCTGTGAATCCAGCAAAATAAATCTTTGGATTCAGGCAACGAAAATTGCAAATTGTATGCCTATGCCAAATGATAGATTGTGTTCAAAACAATTTAAAAGACATTTTTTTATAAGACGTTTACTAAATGCAGCTGTTTCCACTATAATACATTAGTTTTCTTGTTTAAATGACCATGCTGCTGACAACAAGAACAACAACAACCAACAACAACAACAACAACAACAACAACAACAACAACAACAACAACAACAACAACAACAACAACAACAACAACAACAACAACAACAACAACAACAACAACAACAACAACAACAACAACACAACAACAACAACAACAACAACAACAACAACAACAACACAACAACAACAACAACAACAACAACAACAACAACAACACAACAACAACAACAACAACACACAACAACAACACCAACAACAACAACAACAACAACAACAACAACAACAACAACAACAACAACAACAACAACAACAACAACAACACAACAACAACAACAACAACAACAACAACAACAACAACAGCAACAACAACAACAACAACCACCACATTTCCTTTTTAATTGAAGTAACCATTTTAAAATATTTAAATATAAGGATTCGTTTTATAACAAAAAAAAATATCTGAAGTTGGGGACCCGATAAGGCAATATTATACCAAATTAATTTTAAGGATAAGTAATAAATTTATGTTCATTTATGTATAATTTTTCTTATTAGCTTAATTTAATAATAGTGTCATTCTTTATTAACTAAAAAAACATCTTTTTCTAACACATGTAGATCATTTTCTTTTATTTTGCAGAATTAAAAAAAAAAAACTAATTTTATTATGTAAACGGTTTTATTCAGTTTATTTCAATATATTTTTTTATTGTGTCTTATTTATTATTACTTATTTATTTTAATTTTAAACTTGCTTTATACTTAAAAAGATCAATAAAGTACTAATAAAATAAATACAAGTTCATCTTTTTATTTCCAACATGTTACGCCTCTAGTCGAATATCGTTGGTGTCAGAATGAAACAAGATTTTCAGCGGCGTTATGAGTCCTCTCTTTATTACC